TGATGGGAATTGGCCCCTCCCTGCACACCCCTTCCAAGGGATGCACCCCCATCTGGCCAGGCTCCAGGATGAAGGGGCCCCCATGGTCTCACATCTGTCCATCTCCACGAGCCCTCGCCCCACCTCCTGGGGATGCACGGGCCAGGACGCCCAAAGCTATGCTCCCCTCATGGCAAAGGGACCTGGTTTCTTCTGTGAGAACCCCAGTGCTGCCCCTCCCTCTCCTGACCCAGAAAGGGGGAGGGGGAGAGGCCCCAGCTGGCGGGGCAGGGGCGGAACCGGCCGTCTCCAGACCACCCTGCCTGCTGCCCGGCCCAGGGTGCTAACGGCATGTCACCTGGATGGCAGGAGTAGGGGATCCCTGAGGAGCCGGCCCCCGGGTCTATGCTGGGCCCCTGGTGGGGAGATGGGGCCAGGTGCAGGGGTCACCCTGGGGGAGCAGGTGCGCCCTGCCTGCTGAGGAATCCAGTCCAGGCGTCACACAGGCCACCCTCACCTGTCACTTTCTCTGCTTCTGCACTGGGGGACATTCGGGGTTTTCTCTGCTCCGTGTTGGGTGCTCAGCCTGCAGGGGTGAATGCCCCAGGAGTGAGGGCAGAAAGCCTGTCAGCTCCAGGGGCGATGTAGTTGAGGACAAGAGCCCCCCAGAGTCAGAGCTCACACAAGTCAGGGTTCAGACCTCGGTGGGAGAGACGAGGGGGGTCCGTGGAGGAGGGGGCTCCCGAGGTGGAGAAAGGGGCGACCCAGGCGTTAGGAGGAGGCAAGGGGCCCCCTGTGACTGGGGCGCCCCGTGAGATGCTAGAGAAAGGAGGTGCATTCAGTACTTTTCCCCATTCCTCGAGAGCATTTGGTACCCACACCCCGCCGCCTGGAGCCAGTGGGGACCTTGGGTTTGCAAACAGGCAGAACCCAAGGCCGGTACCTGGGGACATCATGGAGCGTGTCTGGGTACCTGGACATTCCTCAGATCACTGTGGATCCCCCTTCCCTGGAGTTCACAAAAGCCTCACTGCACACTGGTTGTCCCCCCAGTGTCACCATGGCCAGTGGGATGGGACAGCTGATGGCGGTCACCCTTGTAGCACCCCCTGAGGACCTCAGGGGATGGTGTGGAGTGCGGGATGCCGGCCCCAGCACAACAGAGGCAGGCACAGCCCAGAAGCCCAGGAGGGGGCCAAGCGCGCAGGGTCTGTGCGGGCTGAGGGCGCCTGCATTTCTTCGTGGCCTGAAGGCAGAGGTGGAGACGGTGCTGGTGGTGCTGGGGTGACGTGGGGTCTGAGCTTTTACGCTTCAGACACAACTGTCAGCGGCACTCAGGGTTTGGGACCTCTGTGGTGGGGCCAGAGTCCCCAGCGGGCAACTCCCCAGCAGCTGCCTTCCGCTCCTCCTGTGGAGCCCGGAACAGGTCCCCTACCTGCGGCGATGCTGCCTCTTCGTGCTCTAATTCTCCTGCCGCTCTGCGCATCCGCCCGGGCTCCCCACGGGGCCGCCTGCCCCCAGCCTTCGTCAGCCCCAGCCCGGCCCTCACACCACAGCCAGGGTGACCCAGTGCCCCTCCAGCCCCGTCCCCAGTCTGTAGTGTCACATTTGCCCCCAAACATCCCTGCTGAGCCTTTCCCGCAGCCCCCGCCCTCTCCCTGAGCCGCCCCATCCTCTGTGCTGCCCCATTGGACACGCAGAGAAGCGCCTTGTCAACTGGTACTTCTCCCCAGTGAGGGCCCAGTCTGCCTCAAGTCCATGGGTGTCTGCAGACCCACAAAACACTTGGCCAGTGAATGAGTGACCGGATGTGTGAGGGACTGACAAAGGAACAAAAGGACGAAGTTGCAGGTGCAAAAGTGAGTGGGCACACGATATTCTAGAATTTTCCCTGCAAACCTGTTTGACACCTAAACATAAGAACGCCTTCCTTGCAGAAAGCTCAGAGCTCCCTCCGTGGGCTCCCAGACCACGACATCTGTAGTATGAAAGGAGAACCAGGGTTGGGGACCCCGCCCTTCATGGTCACAACGTGAGCAGGCCCCCTCCTGAGACTCAGGTGTGGCCCCCGATTCAGGAATCTGCCCCAAGTATTGTTAATATTCCTCTTCCCCATGGCCAGGCACCCTCTGGGGAGACACCAGGTGTGCGTGAAGGCTTTTCTTGTGTTTCTGGCCAGGAGGCTCTGGGACGTGACCCCTAAACCCTTGCGCAGGTTTGTCCATGTCTGTGTGTTTTTTCTAAAGACGCCGCCACAGGAGGAGAGCTCAGTGTGACTCCTTGAGATTGTTGAAAGAGCGTGCTTTTTCCCTTCCCAGAAGGAGTTGTCAGGACTGGTCACCCACCACCCATCACGGTGACGCAGGAGTGTCGTTATGGAAGATGACTGCGCGTGTCCCTGTGGACGTACACCTCTCTCTCTCTCACACACACGCGCGCGCACACATGTGCGCGCTCACGTCCCCGTCCTGGGCCCAGTTCGGGTATAGGTATCCATGCTCACCGTCAGGTGTGGAAGTTGGCCCAGAAACACACGCTTTTTGCCAAACGGTCACACGAATCAGGAAAAGATCAAAGCCCCACGTGCGAGGGGCTCCGGGGCCGCGGGGAGCGAGCTGCCTGCATGGTGGTAGCTGAGCTTCTGCCAGAAGGTTCTGGTGGTTCCCTCACCCAGACTGGCCGGTGCTCACGTGAAGCTGACAGAACAGCAGAGACCTGGGGCCTGCCTCCACTGCTGCCTGCACGGAGGTCTTTTTTTTTCCTCTTAAGTGTTAGGTGCATGTGAAATGTACCATCTTAGCCATTTTTAACGCACAGCTCAGTGTCATGAACTACACCCACATTGTTGTGTAACCGTTGCCTCCATCCGGCTCCAAAACTTCACCTTCCCAAACTGGAACTCTGTCCCCATTAAACACTCACTCCCCAGCCCCCTCCCCCAGCCCCTGGCCCCTGGCCCCCACCATCCTATTCATGAATTTGACTACACCAGGTACCTGCTCTAAGTGGAATCAGTCATTGTCTGTCCTTCTGTGACCGGCTTCCTTCACTGAGCATATTGCCTTCTGGTTTTATCCATGCTGTAGCCTGGGACAGACTCTCCTTCCTTTTCAGGGCTGAGTAATATTCCGTTGTACAGCTGGACCAAATTTTGTGTATCTGTTCATCCATTGGTGGACACTTGGGTTGTTTCCATCTTTTGAGAATGATGCTGCTGTGCACATGAGTGTGCAGGTATCTGTTTGAGACCCTGATTTCGCTACTTTTAGGTGTATATCCAGGAGTGGAATGACTGGGATTACCTGAGTCTTTAAACCACAAATGCTGCCCCAGGGCCCTTTCATGGCTCCAGCCCCATCGAGAATTGGGAGCTCCAGTGTGACTGCTCGCTACTCCCGTTTGTTAGGAATGGGCTGGCGGTGGGTCTGGAGTGTGCCCTGCTCTGCCTCGGGTTGTAACCTCCCCCCTCTCTGTCCCCCCACTTGCTACAGGCCGGCTTTCCCGCCAGGTGCCAACAAAGACACGCTCTCCGCCTTTGAGTGTCCAGGGCCCAGACGGAAGCTGTACAGTGCAGTGCCCGGGCGGCTCTTTGTCGTCGTCAAGCCATACCAACCCCAGGTCGACGGCGAGATACCCCTTCACCGTGGCGACAGGGTCAAAGGTTAGTGTCCACTCTGCATCTGGGGCAGCATCAGGCCAGAGGTGACCTCCGTTGGGGTGTCATTGTGTGAGGCATTGCTTCAGTGGGAACATGGAGTCCTGGGAGGGCGGAGTGGGGACCAGTGTGATGCTCACGGCCACGGCATCCCTGACATCCATTAGGAAGGGTGGTACACACCCATCAGGGATGAGCGTCCACTGCAGAAAGTGCCAGGGAGGGGCAGGCGACCGCTGAGCCCCTTTCCGCCTGGAGATCCTCCCAGGACCTCAAAGGGAGATGGTGCTGGGCCGGGGTCCAGCACGGGTTGGAGCCGGACCCATCTTGGGAGTCAAGGAGGTGTGTCCGGGGAGATGCTTCAGCCTGGGAGCCTGCAACATTCCAAGGAAGGGGGTCCACCAGGTTAGAGGGGAGGATTCCCAAAGCAGAGTCCTGGGAAACGTGGGTGGGAAAGCGTTTAGGGCCCCCGTGAACACCAGGAGTTAGACTTTGCTCCCAGGGTACTAGGGAGCCAGCGATGGTTTCTGAGCAGGGAGATGAGGCATGCGAGGCCCCGAGGGATGATGAATGTATTGAAGGCCTGTGCAGGAGGTTGGCTGTAGCTGTCCTGGAGGCCTGCGGTGCTGGAGGCCGCAGAAGCAAGAGGGAGAGGTGGCCGGTGTGGGCCGCGGGCCACATGGGGGCAGCTGAGCTCCCTGCTTAGAAAGGGGTAGAAAGACCCCTTAGGGGTCAGTCTGCCAGGTTCAAACCCCGCCTTCCCCTTGGTCACCGTTTGACCCTGAGCTCGTCATGAACTACTTCCTCCTCCGTGCTGTGCGCTGATCCGGCCAGCATCACCTGGGTCTCACAACTTTCTGCTGACAGCTGGCGCCCCGCGCTCTCTCTGGGCTCCTTCTGGTAGTCCAGCTGCACGTAATTTGACCATCTGGCGGCACCACGAGTCCCGGGGGCTCTGTCCCTTTCATCCCCAGCATTTGTTTTCCACCTCGGGTCAGTTCCGTGGGTCTGTTTTCAAGTTTGCTTTCTCTTCCCTTTGAAATGTCCCTGTCACAGTTAAGTCCACCTTGTGAATTTCTTAATTTTGCAAATTTTAAACTCTAGGCCTTCCACACGTTTGTTTGTGGTTTTTTTGTGGCGTTTCTATTTGTCAAGACTTTCCATCGCTCTGTGGAGGTTTTCCGTGTTTGGAAGCACGTGCTATGTGATGACATCATGGATGGCTGTGGGCATCGCTCTGAAACCCCCGTCTGTGGTCACACTGTCACAGTCACGCTGGGGTCGGCCTCGCTCAGTCTTCCTGTCTCTGGAGAGCAGGCCCCATCCCCTTGGGCCTTCACGTGTCCGAAAGCCTGCCGCGTCCTGGACGTTGGGGGCAGTGTCTTGGAGACCCTGGCTTCAGTGCATTCTCTCTCTCGGAGGGCTGCTTGGGTGCCAGCGCTGGGCCGGCTCAGGTCTCCCACGTGAGCTGGGCTGCTTTGCGTCTGTTCAGAGATAGGAGACACGGATGTGCCTACCCCCCTCTGGCTCTTTCCCTGTGGGGACTCCCCCAGTCTCTTTGGGGTGTACGGTTTCATCTTCCTGGTTCTTCAGGCCACTGAACACAGCGCCGGTCCACTGCCAGTCCTGCTGTGCGGACCGCGGTTAGGCCAGGCTCCAAGTGGTAGGGAGGGGCCTCCCCTGTAGAGCTCCCCTCAGGTCTCCCCCAGACAAGCACGCGCCCCCCACCGACCCGCACCTCTGTCCACGTGCCAGTGTCCTCTCCCATCGTACTCAGGGTTCATAGCTGCCTTCTGGGACGTGGTCCCGCGGGGTCTCCAGGCGTCGCCCCTCTAAGTGGTGTCCCTGATGGCCCTTATGTTGTTTAATGAAGTATTTTGCTTAACTTTAAATTATAAACATTCAGATTACAAATACAAACATTCGCACGACCTGCCAGCTTGAGTTTTAATCCCAGACGCGTCATGGGGTGGACTTCTCCCTCGATGCCGAGTAATTCCAGTTGACCCCACAGCTGGCGCAGGACGGCCGCCTCGCCGTCCGTGCACAGGACCCCGCCTTTGCCGACGGGCTGGCTGGCGGCCAGGGAGGTGCCTGGCCGCGGCTCCATCCCAGGGCTCCTGTGGGGCCCAGAAGGAGGGCACCTGAAACATCCTTGCTGCGCGCGTGGCCGTCCCTGGACTAGAGCCTCTCGACCGTGACGCCATCCCAGAGGGCTGCTCCTGTGTCTCTCTCACTCCCCGCGGCGCGCGGGCCGGGGGGTGGGCGTCGAAAGTGCCGGGGGGTGCCCACTCCCGGCAGAGCTGGTGGGCTAGCCGGGGGCACAGGGGCCAGAGACGCCCAGGCCTTGGGGACCTTCCTGCAGCTCTCCCAGGAGGCCGGTCCGCCCTGGCCAGGAGCCCACTGCCTTCCTCCCAGACAGAATGCGGAGGGGCAGGCGTGGGCAGTGTGGCCAGGCCAGGAGCACCGCCTCTGGGAGCAGCCACCGTTCCCACTAGCTGGAGAGGGCGGCCTGCCAGGACTTGCTCCGCTTAGGAGCTAGTGCCTGATGACCGCTGGGTGGTGATGCTAAAAACTCCCGTCCCTTCCTGGTGGGTCAGCCTCTGAATCCGCAGAGTCGGCTGCTTGGGGGGCCGGGTGGGGTCTTGCTGGTGGCCCGTGTGAAGACAGAACGTCTGCATGCACCCCACACACCTCAAGCCCCCCAAGAAGCACCACGTCTCCCTGTCCAGCCCGGCTCTTAAACCACTGAGCCCACAGCCCTGGGCTTTGATTCCACACAGGTACAGCCCACTGTGACCCCAGACCCACGCGGGGCTTCGGGCTGGGCCGGTAAGAGCCCGGGGAGCCTTCCCGGTGGCCCCAGGCTGGTCACTTCCTGTCTGGGGCCTCATGTCCCTGTCCACACACCGGGGGTGGGAACAGAGGAGGAGGTACAGGTGGAGGCGTGTCCACAGGCACCTGCTGTCCGCCAGGCGGACGGCTGGGATGTCACGTGTTTCTCCGCATAAACCTCATACCAGCTGTGGGCCGGAGGCTTCAGGGCCCGCTGTCTGAGTCAGCTCGGGTGGCTGGCACAGCGTTCCCCAGACCAGGCAGTTTAAAGCACAAGGTTTATCACCTCCTAGTCCTGGAGGCTGGAATCTGAGGGCCAGGCGTGGGTGGGGCCGGCTCCTCCCGGGGCCTCTCTCCTCGCCGTGGAGACGGCCGTCTTCTCCCCGGTCCTCACGTGGTCATCCCTCTGCGTGTGTCTGTGTCCTGATCTCCTCTTGTAAGGACAGCAGGCCTGTGGGATTAGGGCCACCCCAGTGGCCTCATAATTTACCCTGATCACTCTTTAAAGACCCTGCCTGTTTCCAAATACAGCCCTACCTGAGGTGCTGGGGGTCAGGGCTTCAGCACGGAAGTACTAGGGACACAGTTCCGCCCACAACCCCTGTCGTGTGCAGCGTGGTAACTCAGGTGGAGTCTCCCAGCGTCCCACAGCTGACTTCCGGGGGACAGGGGTTCCGATCCAGTTTGTCTGGATGGCGAGCCCGTGCTGGCCCACCCCAGCCCTCTTTGTCCCTCTTAGTGGCTTGCCCTGCAGCCCGCATGGCACCAGCACCACTTGGCTGTGCCCAGGGCTGTGGTCTTTATGCCCCTTGGGGAGACCAGATGTGCTCACGGTCTCTGCCATCAGCATCTGTGTGGGCACTTGGTGGTCAGCCGTCCTGCAAGTAGGGGTACCATGCCCTCAGCTCCCCAGTGTTGGGTGTCCGGTGCCCCCAAAGCAGTGCTGGGGGTCAGGTGAGGGAGGAGGGGCCAGGACCCAGCTATGAAGTGGCACCACACGTCCTGGCTTAGGTGCCCAGAGAGTGGCACACCAACTTGGGTTCCTGGGGAGTGGGGCATAACCTCCTGGCTGAACGGCCCCCATTTCCAGAAGAGGGCTCAGTGGTGAGGGATCAGCTATGAGCCATTGGCCGCCTGTGTCACAGGAGCGGGGGGATGGTGCCTCTGCTGGGGGAGGGGTCCTGGATGGGGCAGTGACAGCATCCACCACACTGGCCACGAGTGCCAAGTCACGCTGCCCCGCACGGCCAGCACTCGAGATTCCAAGTATGAGGCATTTCAGGGCTCACTCTGATGCTCCCAGCTTCTGCCAACTTGCCCTGTGGGAGCCAGTGGCCTAGGAGCACTGAGTAGCCTGCAGGTCAGGCTTGCACAAGGAAGAATCCTGAAGTGAGGAAGGGCTTTCTCCATGTTAGCACTCAGACAGGCAGCCGAGTTGCTCGGTTATGACTGTGAGTGTGCGTGTGTGTGTGTGCGTGTCCCTGTACTGCATCCCAGTTGACAGACAGGGGACCTTGCCCCTAGGTCACTGGAACCAGCCCAGCGTGAAGGGTTCCTGAGCTGGGCGACTCCTTTCACCGCGTCTCCCTGCTTTCATGTATTGACCTCTCTGCTCTCAAGCTAGCTGTGAACGGCCTTTCTTCGTATCTGTGGTCTCATAGTAACAGCACAGTGCCCAGGAGTGTGTACTTGGCGGAGATTAAATGCGGATTAGAACGTGGTGTCCCTGACGGGGGTGATGGGCGGAGCTCCACACTGTAAGGTTAACGTGCCTCTTCCACACGCAGCGAGCCGACAGGTGTCTTCCTGCTCTGACAAGTGGGGAAACTGAGGCAGGAGATTAAAGAAGCTTCCCAAGTGTCTCCCTGAGCAGTTCCTCCTCCCCTGGACCCCCTAAGACAGCAGACCAGCCTGCCCAGAGCCTCCAGGAAGAAAAGGTGCCCCTTCACTGGGCATTGGCCCGGACGGCACACAGGCCGGTCCCTGCCCCACCCCCCTGCAGTCCAGGGCAGCACCCCGAGGTGGCCCGCCCAGATCCAGGTTCCCCTGGGAAGCTGCGACGTACGTCCGGGTCAGCTGGGCCGCACTGAGTATGAGGGGCCAGCATCGATCTTTGGAGGAAACGCCTTGAGCAGGCTCAGTGGCACTGGTCAGCGGGGGTCTCCTGTAGGCATTTCTCCCCACGAGCAGGCAAAGACTTGTACAGCTGATGGTTTCTGTGCGGTTGGCCTTCAGAACTCATGAGTCCAGGTGTCCTTTATCTGGCCTGTGAGGTTGAGATGAGGGGTGGGGGGAGGCACTTGCGTGCCTGTGATCTGTGCGGTTCTGGCGCCTTGGGTCCTGGGTAACTTATAGGGGGTTAGGATGTGCCGAGATTATATTGACTCCAGCCCAGCACCAAGAGCCTAAGAGGCAAAGACCCTCCCCACCTCACTGCCGTGAACTTGGCCCGTATCTGTCCCAGTGCTGCCCGGGGAGCCTTGGGTCCTGGTGTCTTGGGTTTGCATTGCTCACCCTGGGTCAAGTTTAAAAATAATACCCTTCATCGTCCCAGTGGGCGTTTGCGAGGCCCCTGTGCCCCGAGTGCAGAGCCCAGGCAGGGGACCCCAGTGCCCTCTGCCCGCCGGGCAGCTGTGTCTTCGTGTTTTCCCGGGCAGAGGGCCCCTGGGGACAGGCCCCGCGCCTTCTCTGTAAGGCAACTGGTCTGCCCCTGGAGGCCAGGGCACCAACACAGTTTGTGGGTTCTTCCTTAATAAAGCCGCCCCAAGGCCGGGTGCCCGTGCCCGCCTCGGCCACGTGGCGTCTTAGAACCGCTAGTCTGCCTCTCCATCTGGGCCCCCCCCGGCTTGGAATGGGCAGACACGGCCTCATGGTTCCTTCTCCCCTGTGGGGTGGCCCGTTCCCCCACTTTGACACCTGAAAAAAGAGGGTGGGGACTTGGAGTTCCCATTCTTCTGTCTCAGCTGGGACCCTAGAGACAGGGCACGGTGGCCCCCTGCCATGCGGCATAAGATACAAGGACCCCAGGACGCCCTGCACTAGTGTCCCCTCCCCAGGCCTGACGGGCAGAGGGCACCTGGGGGCTGCAGAGGCTTGGCACTGACCCCTCCCAGGACCCTTTGCCAGGCCCCTTGTCCACAGCTAAAGGAGGCATGGTCAGCGGGCAAGTGGACCAGAGTTGCTGCTCTGTGGGCCAGGCTACCAGCCCCTCCTCCCGTGCAGCCCCTCCAAGCCCTGCCCACTAACCCCTCCCTCTTTCCTTGCCTCTAGTTCTGAGCATCGGCGAAGGGGGCTTCTGGGAAGGCAGCGCCCGAGGCCACATCGGATGGTTCCCGGCCGAGTGCGTGGAGGAAGTCCAGTGTAAGCCAAAGGACAGCCAGGCAGGTAAGGCGGTGCCGCTCCGGCCCCCACCCATTTCTCCACCTCTCTCGGGCCTGGGGTCCGCGTTGTGGTGGCAGCAGGTGCGTTGTTCCCGAGAAAGGCTGAGTTTCAGAACGAGGACCTCTCTGATCATTAGAGCGGTTGATGCAGCCCCACTGGGCTTTGTCCAAACCAGAAATCGGCTGCAAGATACTGTGAAAGCTTTTAGTTAAAAAGCTGCTCGATGCACGTGCCAGAGAACTTGGGTGGTGCGTTCTAGCCCGCGGAAAAGGGCTTTGGGGGTTGATTAAATGCCTGAAACGGCTTTATCGATCTCTCCTACCGATGCCATGAA